AGAAAGTATGTAAATAACTAGGTATATATAAGCTATATAAAGAATAGACAGATGGTAATCTGAAAAGGAAAGGAAATAACATCTCATGGAAACTGGGAAGGCCTCCAAGAGAAAGAAGAATTTGAGCAGAAACTTAAAGGAAAAAAGAAAACTAAAGCAAGAGAACTAAGTATTAACAGGCAGAGGGGACAGCCAGCAAAAAGACACTGAGATGGGAGATGGAGTGTCATGTTTGGGGAATAGCAGTTAGACTTGGAGAATAGCTGCATGGAAGGGAAGAGAGCATAAAAAGACTGCTGAGGTACGTAGAGGCCATGTTGTAAAGAACTTTAAATGACAAACAGGGTCTTTATTTGATTCTGCAGAGAATAGGAAGCCACTGAACCCCAGGGACCCTAAATGTGCTCATCACATAGGGAGATGGCATAGTGAGACCTGGGCTTTAGAAAAATCATCTTGGCAACTGAATAGAGGATGGATTATATAGTAAGGACACAGAGAACCCTAAAGACTCAACTGAAAAAGAAATGTAAACAATGAATATATTAAGTAAAACAGCAAAATATAAACTCCTGCCACACAAATCATGAGTTTTTCTATATATTACCAGTAAAATCCAGCAGAGATAGAGAAATCCCATTCAAAATACAGAATTTTATAGAAAATATATATTTAAAAGTCTACCTACCAAGACACACATAGGAACTACATGAATGCAACTATAAAACACTCTTTAGAGAAATAAAGACAGGCCTAAATATTAATTGCTCATGGTGGGGATAAATAAATATGGCAATGTAAAGTAAACATTTACTTTATTAAGTAATAAAGGAGATATGACAAAGTAAAAGGAACAATGCTACTTAATTTACTTACTAATTTCCATACCAATTTAACTATCAAAGAATTACTTTACCAAGCTAGAAAAAATAATAACTACATTTTTAGGGAGCAAAAAATACTCAGGATTCTCAAGGGAATTTTTTTTTTAATGAATTGAAGGAAGCCAACCAATACTTGATCTCAAATTATATTATGTAGCAATAATCATCAAAACATTCGGTACTCACTAAAAAGCAAAAAAAAAAAGAATCAATGAAACAGATTAGGTATACAACATATAGAAGCAAATAAGCATAATTACCTAAAGTTTGATAAACTCAAAGACAGTAAGTACCAGGCTGAGGACTCATTATTTGGAAAACAAAAATGATAACAAAAAAAACTCTGGGAAAATTAGAAAGCAGACTGACAAAAACTGGGTTTTAGTCCAAGTTCTCATACCATTTAACACTTGTTATTGTTGTTGTTAGTTGTTTGACTCTTCATTTGGGGTTTTCTTGATAAAGATATTGGAATGATTTGTAATTTCCTTCTCTAGCTCATTTTACAGATGATGATTAAAAGACTTGCTCAGGGTAATACAGCTAGTAAATGTCAGAGGCCACATACCATGATACGTTCTAAATGGACACATGGCCTAGATTGAAAAGATCATATCCTAAACAAATTAGAGGAGAAAGAAAAATTCATTTGCAGTTAGGGATAGGGGAAGGATTCATGACCAGACAAAGGATAAAAATGATCACAGAAAGTAAAATGGACAATTTTGATTACACAAAATTGAAAAGCTTTTGCACAAAGTCAATGAGGTTAAAATTAGAAGGAAAACAATTAACAAGGGAAAAAATCTTTGTAGCAAGCTTCTCTGATAAAAGATATGATATCCACAGTATATAAGGAACTGATTTGCCAGTAGATTAATGGCCAAAGGATATGAAGGAGCAGTTTTCAAAGATACAAGCTATCAATAGCCATATTTTTAAATGCTCCAAATAATTAAAAATTATGCAAATGAAAACAACTCTTAAGCTCTGCCTCACATCTATCAAACTGACAAAGATGGCCAAGGAAGGAAGAAAGGAAGGAAGGAAGGGAGAAGAAAAGTAAGGAAGAAAAATTTTAATTACTAGCTGTAGGAAGATAAGCACAGTAATATCCTTATCGTGGAACTTTGAACTGGTATAGCCATTTTGGAAAGCAATTTGGAACTGTGCCCAAAAAGTCACTAGATTGTGCTTATCTCCTGACCACTCTGTTGAACTTATTATATACTTTTTGAAAACCAAGTTGTACAGAATAGGTTTCATACATAATACTCTTTTTCTATTCTACTTCGAAAATGTTCTCTTTATAGTGTTCATTAAATTCAAAATAAAAAAATTAAATCTAATTGTTAAAAAGAGTATTGCAAAAATCCAAGTGAAATTATTATTTCCAATAAAACTATTTTTCCAATAATAATTCCAATTATTATTTCTATTGTTAATAATAAATGCTCCAGTATAATACTTTTAAAATGTTAACAGATAGCAGTTGGCATTATAAATTGTAAATAGTAAAGGAGGTATGGCAGGAAAAAAATGAGAAAAGGGTATGGTTTATAGTAATATTTTACTTGTCTATAACATTTATATACTTGAATCATTTCAACATCTGTGATCTCATTTGATGTTCACCAAAGGAAAAAAAAAACCTAAATGGATATGAATAATACCATTACCTTTATTTGACAAATGAGAATACTGATGCACAAGGCTTGTTCAAGGTTACACAGCTAGCAAAAAAATAAGACTAGAACTAAAACTTCTGACCCCTTGCAGTTTTTTTCTACTATCTCCATAGAAAAGACAGAGTTAGGGATTCAGCCATGAATTCAAAGATAAACAAATCTTCACACATTGTAAGGTCCTGTAGTCAGCATTTTGTTAGCATGTACTCAAAGTGCAAGCATGTTAGGCAGCTAGGTAGTGTAATAGATAGAGCAATGTACTTGTATTTAGAAAGACCCAACTTCACATTCTGTCCCAGCTATCTACTAGCTATGTGACCCTATGAAAGTTGCTTAACTTCTCGCCCTCTGCTCCTCATCTGTAAAATGGGAATAAATACTTATAGCTTTGTAGTAAGGATTAAATGATGTAGCTATGTGGCATAGTGGATAGAGTGCTGGGCCTAGAGTCTAGAAGACCTGAGTTCAAATCTAGCCTCAGATATTTACTAACTGTGTGACACTGGGCAAGTCACTTGACCCTGTTTGCCTCAGTTTTCTCATTTGTAAAATGAGCCAGAGAAGGCAATGGTAAACCACTCCAGTATCTGCCAAGAAAACTCCAAAAGGGGTCACTAAGAGTCAAACATTACTAAAACAACTCAATAACAGCAACAAAATGTATAAAACACTTTGAAAAATGTAAAGCTTTATATAAGTGCAAGCTATCATTATTATTGTTGTTGTTGTTGTTGTTATCATGCACTCCAATTAAGACAGAGTTTGTTGGACCTCATTTTATCTTGCCATAGCTCAAACCTGAACCATTGCCAGTCAATCAAGGCTGATCTCTAGTTTCTGATTCACTTTCTGTGTCTCCCTATACCACTCTTAGAGGGGATATCAACCTTCATATTCACTCCAGTGGTGGCTGATCCTCACAGAATTCCTACAGCCTCTGGCTAACCTGAGATGACACCATATTTCATAGATCAATCTATAAAGATTAGATAGAATTATAAAATACCTTACTCTTGGTCCTTTGTCTCCCTCTGAAAATTTGATTAGATAAAAGACTTTGTCTTCCATTCAAGCTCAGTGCCTTAGGCAGGGAAGAGGAACATGGCCCCAAAAAATCAAGGCCTTCATGTCATCTTCTTCAATTTGTAACAAATAAGACTAATTAAAAGACATTTGCAAATTTTCTTGGGATTAAATTTAAAAATAAAAACAATTAAAAGAAAGTTTATATTATCAAAAAGGACTCAAGTTAATGACCATTAAGTTATCCTTTTGGGAACAGAAGACAGTTTCTATTACAAATCCTCTTAGAACATGTTATGTCCCTGAATTGACTTTGTTTTGAAAAGGCAAACTTTTGCCAATGCTAAATTGGAGTTGTAACAGAAATGTTTTTTTTCCTTGCAACAGATAGAATCAAGAAGTGGAGGTGGCCCCATCTATGGGGCTTCTCCATTTTCGCTCATGTACAGAAGTGTAAGGATTTCTCATGCTTCATTTCTCCCAATTTATCCCTAATCTGTTTGGAGTCAGAGTGGTATGGCTCCAACAAAGCTGGCTCACGGAGCAAGATAGAGATTTTGTTTTTTACAATATTTCAAAGGTTAAAAGTCAGCTTCAAGAGAAACTGGGATTCTCCAGTGTCTCATATTAATAGTATGATTCTTTGGGGGGCTCTATTACAGTGAAAAAGAAATTAAGTTTCTGTAACCAAAGAGAATATTTTAATAGTTCATCCCCAGAGGAACTCATTCTTGATATTTCTAGCCCAATAGACAGAACAGTCTCTGGAGAATCAGGCTTCTGTTTGATTACTAAATTTCCCCATAATATCAGAAAATCACACTCAAAAAAAGTTTTTAAGGTCTTTAAAATTTGAGTATGAACTCAGAACACAGTTCATTTTCTCCCTACTCCCACTTACTCTTCCTTTCCTCACCCCATTACTTAAATCAAAGGTGTCAAGAATATGGTGCATGAACTGCAACACTCCTGAATGCAGCCTGCACCAGATTAAAACGTAATTGGGAAATATTTAACAAAATAAATAAAATACAATAAAACATAGATAATACTACATTTTAAAACTAAGTCAATATTTGGCTTACAGGGATCCTTAAATATGATTAGTGGCTTCTGTTTCTATTTGAGTTTGATATCATCGTCTTAAATGATTGGTGGGTAATTGAATGCTCCTTTCTATATCATACTGAGGCTAATTGCTCTGATTTTCGGGGTTATATCCTGGATGAGGAATGTCCTGTTGTTTTTAATGACTATTAAACTAGACATGTTTAGACAACACACACACATATATGATATGTTTATATATGTATATAACAATCAAACTAAAATGAAATCTTTCTCTCTCTCTCTCCTCTCTCTCTCTCTCTCTCTCTCTCTCTCTCTCTCTCTCTCTCTCATACAGGGCCGAATCTGTAGAAAAGCTGGCAAATCAAAAAAATCCTTCAGTCGCAAGGAAGCGGAAGCAACATTTAAGAGTTTGGTGAAGACTCACGAAAAGTATGGTTGGGTCACCCCTCCGGTCTCTGATGGCTGATATTTGAAATCCTTGCATTAGACGCTTTAAATAACAAAACAAAACAAAACACACAAATACTATGACATCTCCTCCTCAGTGCTGTACATCCACTCATCTTTTTCTACGTCAGCTTCTGTTAGATACTGTACCATGAATGTCAAGGAGACATTTAAGTTATTTATGAACAGATTGTTTACAGAAAGAGAAAGAGGGAGGGAGAGAGTTGGGTAGAAAAATACTGTTTAGGATTATGTTTCAATAATAAATGGTCATCTCGAAGTCACTTTAGAGTGAATATTGAGACGCTATCATTTCCCTTCATTCACCTTGCCCCCATGCAGTCCACATTGTCTTTACCTTCTTGCCATGACAGCTGCACCAAAGAGCAGAGATGGAAAATCTGTCCATTTCTGCTCAGTCCATTTCAATGTAAATGAAGCTGTTCATCTTTAATAGGGAAGCAGTGCATTGCAGAAACGTTTGCTGTGCTGTTTTATCTTTGTTTTGTTTTCTAGCAAATCAACCTAACTTGAAAATTTGTCTTTATGTGATGCTATGGTCTGCTGTGATTAAATTTAGACCTCATTTGTGATCTCTCTGATCTTTTGCCTCATAGGAAAAAAAAATTCTGACATTGCCAGGTTCTCTTGGTACAAGATCATCTGTAGGATGAACTTGCCCACTTGGTCAAAATGTGCTCTCTGTGCTGATTTTGTGGTATGCTTTTATTCACAGAAAAAAACGAGAAAAGACTGGTGAGATTTCCAATAAAAAGTGCAACCCCTACTCCAGGATGGGATTCAAAGTAATTAATTGATGGTAGAATAAGAATGAGGATTTTTTTCTTTTACTGGTGTAATGCAGTATTGCTATGATAGCACATTTGTTTGTTTGCCTGTCAGCTTTCAACTGGCAAACCATACACAAAAAACTATATCAATTTACGTTCACAAAAGTTAATATGACATTTTAAAATATGTGCCAGTGGATGTGAAAGTCAGAGCTTCAAAAAAGTAAAATAAGTGAATTGTAAGATGATTTGCATGGCTGGATTTTTTTTAACTGAGTAGTCATTGTATATACTTTGATCCCAATATGTGAGAGAACCCACTGCTGTATATAAATGTCCTGTTATTTAATCTTTGGGATTTCATTTTTCTCTTCTGTTAAATTACTTAGAACTTTCTTTAAAAAAATTCCAAGAAAGCAAGAAATAATGTTTATATTGATCTTTGAAAAGAGGTTAAAAATGGTGATTCCAAATGGAAAATATTACTGGACACATTTTAAATAAAATAACCCATATATGTTACACTGTTTGAAGAATTCAATCATTTGGAGCTACTCTTCCATTTAAAATATTTACCCTATTAGCATTTTTATTCCTGATACCAGAAATCCTTATTGATTATAACAGGCAGTCCTGTCAAAAACACATTGTTGAACTGATCCCAGCCTATGTGTTTAAGCCAGTGCTTTTGATCAAATTCTCTAAACAGTTGCCCGTCGCATTTTCATTAGAGGTGGGAAGGTTGGGGGTAGGGATTCCTTTTTAGTAATTATTTATGATGCTTCAGGCATTTTTGGATGCTCAGGAGCTCATTTATTTGGTTTAAGGCTTTTAAAGTTCATAGAGACAGTGCTGCAAAGAACAGATGGTTATGAGCTACCCAGTGTGGCTTGGTGACTAACAAAATTCAGTCTTTGCATTCAGGTGGTCACATGTTAGCTACTGCTGTTTTTGCTTTTTAAAAGCTCAAATTTTTCTCATTAAAAATAAATCCACCATCTCGTTTCATCAAGCCAGAAGTGACTATCTTGAGTGTTGTCAAAAGTCTTAACTATAAGGAGAGAGGAAATTTGCTCTGTTCAGTTTTCTGCTCAAAAGCACTTGCTTCTTCTAAGATAGGTATGAAAGCATATGGTAATGAACTTAAAAGAAGTCAAATTTGATCCTCTGCAGTGGAATTCTCTGTTTGAAAAGTACAATTTATGGGATGGCATTTGAGTTGTTAGATAACAAAGATGATTTCATTGCAATGGAATTACTTCATATTAGATTTTTGTTTTAAAGAGCCTATTGCCAAGGATTTTTAATATAGATCTGTCGTTTCATCAGTATAAAGAGTTCCCAAAGAGGAAACTCCCTCTACCAATCCAGATCAACAACTATTTTGTAACCTATAGTCTTAGAGAGTTACCTGGGGTCCTGAGAATTAAGTGACTTGGCCAAGATCACACAGCCAGTATGTATCACAGTCAGGACTTGAACCCAGGTCTTCTTGACTGAGAGATCTGCTCTCTATCCACTGCACCACGCTGCCTCTCTTTCTTAGGGATTCTGCCCTACAAAACAATGATAAACATTTTTTGTTCTTTCCCCTTGGTTTCCTCTCAGCATCTCAAATTTTTAAGATGAAAAGCAACCATTCTTCATGAAAGCTGTGACCCAATGCAAGATTCCAAGGCTTTATTTAAGGAAACAAAAATTGAATACAAGAATTCTGTGATACTTTGCTTTTAAAATATTATCAATTCTTCAAACTTACTGTTTGAGGTACAAAACTTCCAAATGAATGTTGTACAAATGATAAAACAATAAAAGTTGTAACCCAGGAGTTTGATCATTATCTTCAACATTGTTTATCCAGTACTTATGTATGTGAAAGGGGAAATAGGCTTGGTTTCCAGCATCTGCTTCCACCTCTGTGTATGTCTTCTGCACATTATTTTAATTATAATTTACAAAAAATAAGGCAGCATTGTACAAAACGCCTAGCTCATTATGTATCTGTAAATCCTAAATCTGGGCTCCATTCCTGCTTCCATCATTGCCTTCAGGTTTTATGACATACTATGGTCAACAGTGCCTCCAATTTCCTTACAAGTGAATGGAAGATATCTAGGAGAGAGCTTTAAGTGTACTAAACTTACAAAGCTGTCTACAAGGAGAGCATCATTTGTGCCATTCTTACGGTAAGGAGAAGGATGTCAAATGAAAACCAAGGAATGAGTTGGTTTGACCAAAAAGCCACTGTAACCTGGGGCACAGAATGATGTATCTATTTTATTGTTTTTAAAATTTGGAAAACATCTGCTCCCCTGAACATTGGCAACTTTTATGTCAATTTTTTTAATAGTAAATGAAAAAATTGCTTTGGCACCAGTGGTTTTCTTATTGGAAGATCCTATTTTCAGGCCTGGAAAGAATTTTAATTAAAAAGAATCCCTCTTTTGTAGTTTATTAGAATTTTCCTGCCATTTCCTTAAATAAAGGAATATTATTGGAATAGAAGACAAGTCATTTTCTTTGTTCTGCAATAGATTTTCTTTTTTGTTTGAAGAAGAAAATTTAGGAGGCAGTATGGTACTATGGAAAGAGGATTGATTCTGGAAGCCAAGACACTGAGTCTGTATCCTGGCTTTGTTCTTTATTAGCAGTGCCCAGAGTCAGGCAAGGCACTTAACCTCTTTGGGCCTCAGTTTTCTGTTCTGTACGTTTTGGAGATTGGATTGGATGATCTAAAACTATAATATATTTTTGAAATTTCTCCATTATGTCCTTCCTTTCTCAGGATCTGGATGTGTGCATTCAGTTGTGAGTAGAGCGTAGTTTTCTGGCCTATAGACAAATGTGATCAGTGTTAACCAAGAACAGCTGAGCCTGACTATTGACCCATTTTTTTGACTACCACAGGTCATGTTCTGGCTGTTTGGTCCAAGCATAGTTTTACAAACCCTGACATTAACCTTCATGCCGTTCCTGTGAAAGAGATGCCTTCTTACTCTCCCCGCTGAGATAAAGTAGCTTACTCAAGACCCCCTGGAAAGATAGAGTGAGGTGTTCCCACAAATAACAGGGATAAATAGTGTAGTGCTTGGGAAAGCCATCACTGCCTCAAGTAAGCTGTAAAAGAAAACCCAGTACAGTGGGTTCAAATTTTCATTAGATACAAGTTCCCATACATTCACTTATTTGGAGTAACCTAAATGAATTAGGGGCAGCAAGACCCATAAATTCCAGGCTGGGAGGATGAAGGGGAACCCTCTCACACAGAGACAAATATGAGTATACTTGTGCATCACCTGAACACCAAGCTCCTTCCCACCACAATAATTTGTCTCTGCGTGATCTCCATATTTCTGATCTTCAGTATGCTCTCACCAGTGCCAGCCAAATGCTGTGTACGGTACCCTACTTAAAAACAGATTGCAATGAGAAAGTTAATTTCTAAATCAGTTTGGAACTTGGAAGAATTTTCTAAAAGAAACATTGTTGAATGGTGAATAGGTTTCCAAACCAGTCCATTGTGTACCTGAGCTAGAGTTCTAATAACATTGAGCTAAGTTTTGAGTCCTGGGACCTGGGATAGGGGTCAGAAGGTGGGATAGAGGAGGGGAGAGGGAAGACATGGTGTAGGAAGGAGAAGGTAGAGTGCAGAACTAGGTGAAAATCCTGCTTCATGCCTTTCAGCATTTAACTACCATTTTTTAGTTCCAGTCTCCCCAAACTCCTGGCAGTTGTCTCATGTAGTTTTAAGTCCCCCAGGATGACACACCATCTAAACATATCCCTTCTCCCTCCCTCCATACTTCCCCCTATTAAAATTCTTGTTCCTCCTTTGCAGACAATGATAAAAGACATAGAAGTTAAGATAATGATGATGTCCTTAGAGGATCATGAAAATTTGATATGACTAGAGAAAAGTGAAGGCTGGGGAACAGTGAAATAAAGTCAGACAGGGTAGTGTAGAGCCATTATTATTTATCTAAACAACAACTCCATGAAGCAAGTAGAAGCAGCTGTTATTCTTGTTACATATATGAAAGCCAAGGCACAGAGAGACTAAATTACACAGTTGGCCAAGGGTGTCAAACTTCCAACTGAGACCTTTTTTTGTTTGTTTGTTTTCCCCTTAGACTACATTACCTCTGAAAGTAATCCCGAACCCTGTAGCACACTTACATTTTAGTAATGAACTTGATCCTCTGTCCCATTGACTGGAAAATAGGCTCAAGTAAATCTGACATAGAAGAGGGTTGGAGAAGGGTACAGCCCATTATTTTCACTATTTTCTCCTTCCTTTCTCCCTTCTTCTATACATTTCATTTAATTGCTTCACTCCCATATTCCTTAGGTGGAGTAAGAGTGAGGTAGTTTGATCATGCCATCAGCCCAATGGCATGGTTGAGTGATCTTCTACAGAAAAGGACATGAGAATGGTTAAGTTCTGTTGACATCTATGTTCAAAGAATATGCACACCAGCAGGGAGCGGGGAAGAAGCAAGGTGATTATGTACTCTTTGGGAGGCAGCATGTTATAATGGAAATAACACCTCTGTGACTTTAGAAAAATCACTTCCCCTCTCTGGGCCTCAGTTTCCTTATCTATAAAATGAAGGAGTTGGAATAGATGGCTTCTAACATTCCTTCTGGCTCTAAATTTATGGTCCTATGACCTTTATGGCTAGAACTTTCAGGAAAATATGTCCACCATTTCTAGAAAATGGCACAGTAGCATCCTATTATAATACTAATGATAGGGGGCAGTAATAACTCCTGCTTTCTAGGATTTTTGTCACAAAAAGATGAGAAGTAACCTTATAGGCTAACTGTGGAATATTGGATTTTTGCCAAATGTTGTTCTCTTAGAATGTAGTAGCTGGAAGAGAATTTAAAGATCATCTAGTCTAATGCTTCCATTTTACAAATGAGGAAACTGAGACCCAGACAGGGGAAATGATTTACCAAAGGCCACACACTGGGATGCTCAAAAACAAATCTCTTCCCTGATTTCAGGTTCAATGTTTTTCATTATACTTCATAATTACATTGCATTAGATAAGCATTATATTATATTATACTTCTTAGACATGTTATTTCATTGAGTTAGGGAGCTACCCAGGCAGAACTTCTTCTAGCAGTGCAGATGTACACCTTCTCTGCAACTTGGAGTCTTGGAGAATTGTCTGGGGCACTGAGAAATTAGGTGACTTACCCAGTCTCACAGCCAGGATGTGTCAAGGGTAGGACTTTAACCCATCTTCCTGACTGTGAGGCCAACTCCTTATCCACTAGGCCATGCTGCCTCCCATATTATGCCATGCCTGATCCAAATTCTTGCCAGAACAGAACCTGTAATAGGGTTGTGCCATTTTTTAACCATACAGAAATAAAGTTTATGAGGAAAATGGTCTTATAATTGTAATGAAAATATAGATCAAGTCCATTAGGCATTTCAAATCTAAATCACACTAAAGAACTTTTTCTTGGGATCATTGGAAAGGCAGTGTCCTTCAAAGTTTGATTGTGAGTTATTCAAAATGACCTACCATTCATCAAAAGTCAATTAGAAAAGACAAAGTATGTGAGATGGCATGCCCTACTCAGTGTGTGATGGAGTTTCGACAGTGTTGTAGCTCTGAGTAAATGACCTTACACAAAAACTCATATTTTTGTTTCGTTTTTATTTCCTCTGAAAGACAGTGAACTAGTATAAAAATTTAGTTCAGTTATCAGATGGGAGATAGCCTCTGAAGTTTATAAATCATTACTTGATTAAAAGGAAAATGCTACTGATAACTTCAGGAACTACCTGAGTAGCAGAGGGATTACTGCCAAGCCAGTTGGTCTAGATAATGTTAGTACTAAAGAAAGCAGCAAGTGGCGATCAAGTTTATGACATCTCTTTTAGCTAATGTTCTATAAAGCATGAGCGAAGTTTTCTGAACATAAATGTTATTGAATAAGAACTAAAACTCAAAGAGCAATATAATTTTTTGTAGCTCATAACAGGACCATACAAATCATGAAATGAATTGTTAGAGCCCAGACACCCAAACTTTCATTTGCGGTCAACATAGCAGTATATACTAAAAGAATAAGCAGATTTACTATCTCCTACTGCTAGGTAGCTTTTTAAAGCTTACCTAACTTTGGACATCACAGTCCATTTTCCCATTCCTTCTATTAACAAATAATTAAATAAGTGACATATTGTTCCATTGAAATCCTAAGGAGGAAATAAGCTGAAAATTAAAACTGGCTTACGAAGGCACTGAGACCATCACCTCATTCCCATTTCAAATCTGTATAGAAGTGGACTTTGATCTATATTGATTTTACATGCAGAAAAATCTCTAGTCCAAGAATTCACAAGGTTTTTAGAGTAACTAGATGTAAGTTGCTCTGAATTTAATTGAAAATTGCCTCCACTTTGGACAGTCCTTGAAAAGATCATAGTTTGTGCGCATGGACATGTAACTAAGGAATAAAGTTGCCTACAACATATTCTTCAAAGAACAATGTAAAAGGAAGTGAGCAGGTACTTAAAGATGTACTTGTGATTTAAAGACTGACAATACAATGATTGTGGCTTTTGTAAATAAGTCACTAGCTACTTGTGTTATTCTTTGAAATTTACAGCATGGGTACAATATTACTGTACTTTGAACTTTAGTCATGTTTCTAAGCATTTGGGTGTGTAATGTCAATTTACAACTTAAAATTGTGTTTTCTTCTGCGGCACCTATGTATAAGTTCAACTGTCATATTTTGTGGACACACCAACACTTTTCATCTCTAAGTCTTGGGCAAATCATTGGTGATACCATTAACCAAGCTAAAATAGAAATGATGATATAACTCAGATGTGCTTGTCTTATTTCTTCTTGCCTTGCCTTTTGATGGACTTTTGATTTTGCAAATGTTACACCATAATTGCAGTAGTAGAATGCCGATATACCTTAGTAAGATTGTTGTGAAGATTAGGAATCTCAACTATAATTTCCATTAGTTCCTTTGGAATATGCTGTTTCCAAAATTATTAATCTGCAATCCTCAGTGGAGAGGAAAAAAAGAATATGGCATTAAATAGGAAATTTAGAAAAACATGGCAAGCAATACAGGAAGAGTGTGCATGTGTAAATATGAGTATATATGTGAGAAAGACAGGCCAAGGGTCAGTTTCCTAAAGTGAAAAATAGTAATTTGGGAAAGCATTTAAATTATTAAAATATCAACCCAGTAAATGACTTTATGCTGAATACTTGTTACATACTTGCATGGTTTAAATTTAGTTGTTTTTGCCTGTTTTCCTGACATTCGTTATCTTTCATGGTCCATTGTTGCTGTGTTTTTGTCATGTGATACTCTATGATCTTTTGTGATTTAATTTATTTGTGGTTTGCTAAATGGAGGCTTTGAAGCATGTCACGGGTATTCTCTATAAAAATCAATGAAATGTAACTGAACCAAATCTAATTAAGTGTCTGCGTGATTTAGAAGACCTCTCCTTCAGCTGCCATTTGCATTAAAAAGATTTGTAGACTTGTTTGCCAAAGATTCCCATTAAAGTTTCTCAACAAAACTGAAACTGTGCACTCAGCACAAAACTGTAGTGTAATGTATTACTGAATTAGCACAATACTTCTTTGGGAAAATAAATATACGTAGCAACAACACTAAAGAGTAGTTAAATTTCCACATATGTGCTTTAAACTCAATGGTGAAAAAGGAACTTAGGTAATTATCTTCACACTAATACTACAGAGCCTACTTTTTATGTTTTAAAACATTTGCTGAATGACTTTCTCAAGCTTTTTCAATGTTTCCAAACTGAGCCAACCACTTTCTAATTTGCCATCACAATGCAAGATGAACTGTGCAGTCAGATTGATGACTTTTCTTACAGTGGGAGGAAAAATTCATCAGCTATGGAATGGTTAATTTTATGTCAGCTGAATATGTACCCTTTCTTTTATATGAGAATATGGCAATAATGACCCACCTACCCCCACCCCCATTTAGTAAGGCATGCTCTCTTAGTTATTTTACTAGGCCTGGTGATAGATCTGTGCTAAACCACCTACATTCTTTTCCCTCCTTTGGAACACTAGAACACATTTGTGAGGTGGTTAACTGTGTTTAATCTATGGCAATGGGAGAGAGTTTTTTCCTCAACAAAACTAATTAGCCCTATAGGGATAGAAACTATGGCCTTTGCTTTCTAAACACCATGTTTTAACAAACTAGTCCATTTTTGCTTCAATTGGAGATTATAAATGTAAAATTTTATAAATTGCAAACTTTTTCCTTTTACAATGGAGTAAAGGCCTCTGAACAATGGAGCCTTCAAATGGCTTAGAGTTCTGTCCCCATGCTAAAGTGAATGTCACACTTTCATTTCATTTTGCCTTGTCCTTAAGTAAGGAAAAAATTATAAGGTGGAAATGTCTGAATCCTTTGTTGCCATAAATATAAAAAATCCCCATGGCTCCTCAGCCTTTGCCAGTCTTATCTCTGCCAGCTTGTGGGAATCTTGCCAGAGGAAGACAATAGGCCTTAATGATATTTGGAACCTATGACATGTTTTCTGTTCATCTCACAGCATTTTTCAAGAATTATCTCAATCGTAACAAATTTATGTGTGTGGTATATGTGTATATGTGTGTTTCCTCCCACTTAGTCTCTGGACTTTGTCAACAGGCAATCACAACGTCATGAGACTTTGTGAAAACAAGGTTATTACAAGAGAAATGAACCCCTTAACAGCCCTTAACAACATTCAATTAAGTCATTTTTTAAAGCACAGAAAATATTGGGGGCAGCTAGGTGGCACAGTGGATAGAGCACCGGCCCTGAAGTCAAGAGGACTTGAGTTCAAATCCGGCCTCAGAACAAACACTTGACACTTATTAGCTGCGTGACCCTGGGCAAGTTACTTAACCCCAACTGCCTAAGAAAAAAACAAACAAAAAAAAAACCCATAGAAAATACATTCTATATAGTAGCCTTTAGTGGAGAAGGGTTTCCTTTCCCTATATTTTCAAAGCACTTGAAATTTTCCAAAGTGTTTTCATTCATTCGACAAGCCCTTCCTGCATACCTGCTATGTGCAATGCACCATGTATTTTAGGTTCTTCAGGATATACAATGATAAACAAGACACAATTGCTTTCTCATTTTATTCTTGCATAAATCCTGTGGGACAAATAAGGCACATAGGAATCATCCATTTTTTGTGGATGATGACAGTATCTACTTTAGCAAGTTTAAATGACTCACCTAGGCACTTTATAATCATACATGGCCAAATACCCTTCCATTTTATTAAAATACATTCATCAATTTAAAAAAGGTTGTTAATCCTGAGCACCCAAGACTATGTGATAGCTGAATATAGTCTAACTCCATCTAAATGGTTACAATATACCTTAATATCTTGCATTTAGATAGAAATATTAACCTTTTCAAAGCCTTTTCATATGTCTTCATTTTATTTTTACTGATTTCTCCAGTTTTCTTCCCACTTTACTTAACAAAAAAAATCCAATCTCTGATCTCTGTTATTATTATCATTCTGTGATTAACCTCTGTTGTTTGTTTTCGTAGTGTTTTTTTCCCATAAAGTGCCTCAATTCCTGTTATTTTTATTGTCATGTATTGCTCAAATGCCACTCTTCCTCTCTAGTTTTTTTCCCCCTTTTTTAGACAAGCCATAGATCCTCCCTCTATGTTCTTAACTTCCAACCTTTAAAGATTCCTGCATACACTGTTAATTGCTCCCAGAACCCTCTGACTATGTGGCATATTAGGATCAGATAGAATCGTATTTCTACCATCCCACATTCCTGTAATGGTGATAGGAAATATCTTTCTCTTATTTTACAAATGGATAGAATGATGCAGGAGGAGCTAGGAGCAGCTAAGAAAAGGACCTCAGCAAGACCCTAGCAGATATAGAACCAAGGATTTCTGACTTCTGAATCTGTAGCTGAACTTAGGACAATCTATTAATTCAAATCATCAAGCTAAATTTCCACAAATTAAGTCCATGATGAAGCAAGATCTTTGACATATGCCTGTTTAAGTCACGGTTTTCATTCATGTATAACTGTGGGCCTGATCTAATGAATGCTAATGGAGAAAGCATGTTTTATATCAAGATATATAGATCATTAGGATATATATTCATATAGTTTATATATGTGTGTGTGTGTGTGTATATGTATATGTACACACACACACATATATAATTATGTATATGGTGATGTGTGTATATGTGTGTGTGTGTGTGTGTGTGTGTGTGTGTGTGTGTGTGTATAATCCTAAATCAATGTGGCCTTAGAAGGAAGTACAAATAATTCTGTGATTCGTAGGTATGGCATGAACCCTCTCCCTCCCTGAAAAATTACAAAAAGAGGGAAAAAAAGAAAAGGTTCTCTTCTCACTTGGATCATATTCACTCACTACCTTTTGTGCTAGATTTTTAAAAAAATCTCAACTGTGATAAAATAGTGCTAAAGGACGGAGATGTAGGACACAAAATTGGTTGTGGTCTGATTTTATTAATTGGGCCCCCAGATTGGGACCATTAGTAGCTCTCTTGGAGAATGAAGCAAGGATACAATTAATGATTATAAGTAGGCCAAGAGCACAAAATATTCAAATATATTGACCTCTTTTCCTCAAGAAAAAGAAAGAAATTCATTTAACCAACAAAATTCTATAAAATGGTTGCTTACAACATGGAAGATTTTAGGGTGTATTGAGAGTATTTGATTCAAGTTTCATATTGCTTTAATTGCTATTCACTTTTGGCCTACAATGCAAAAAATAAAGGAAGGAAAAAAGAAATAATTAGAACATTTATTTATTTATGCATATATTTATTCACCACATTTTCCATTCATTCTGTGTCTTTCAGTAACTCATCTGTTAGTAACAGGATAGATGGGTTTCAAAAATATCTTTTCTCTGTTAGATTATTTTGAAGTAATCTAAAATAATGTTGCCACTTTAAAATGTAGCTAACAGGCAGAATAGAGAAAAAAATGACATTGCATCTCAAGTAATTTCTTTCTCATTGTCCCTTAAAATCTAATCCTAAAAGTAATGAGTTAAATCCCTCTTTTTTAAAATTAATATTACACAAATGATTCACTGAAAATAAATAGTAAGAGAGTCCAAGTTGCTGCTATTCAGAGCTAAGAATCACAGAATCACAAAACCCAATTACATGAATCACCTCTGTAGAAATCTGGCCTTTGCTTGAACATCCCCAGTAAGAGGACGCGGTACCTCCAGAGGCAGCACATTTCTTTTGAATGACTCTAATCATTACAGTTTTTCTTTACACCAAACCTAGATTTGCCTTTTTTTAATATTCACCTATGGCTCCTAGTTCTACTGGGGCCAAACCAAACACCTCTAACTAACCTCCTTCATGCCAGCCCTTCAAATGCTGGGAAGACAGCCATCATATCCTCTACAGTAGTCTCTTTTCCAAACTAGACTTCTCCAGTTTCTTCAACCAGAATTCATACAATATGCTCTGCAGGTCCTTCCTCTCCTCCAGTTACTCTCTAGCTTATTAATGTCTTTCCTAAAATGAGATTTTACCTGAAACATGTTCAGCAAATGATGTTTGAAATCCATCACTACCACTAACTATCTGGGTGTTCTTGAACAATATAACCTGTCAGTTAACCCATTTGTAAAATAATGGGGATAGCTGAGACCAGAGGTGTCAAACTCAAATAGAAATGGATACCTGTCTCTCACATGGAATTAGAAAACCACAAATTAACATTATCTATGTTGTATTATATTTTATTTATTTTGTTAAACATTTATCAATTGCATTTT